ACAGCCTCTCGACAATATGCGTTTTTGCTGGCTGTAGCAGCGCACAGCAAAAACGCATAAAAACGCGTAGTCATCTTCACATGAATGTTCATTTTTAGTCAAAATGCCTACAGTTTGTTTGAGAGCAATCTGAATGGCCGGAGATTTGCACTTCCCTGCACAGTTCGGCTCTCGATGAAATACTGCTTCAAATGCAGATATGGAGCTTATAAATTTAATCACATTTGTTCCAAGAACCGAATTTAAATTATGCGGTTTTAGCTTCCACTTTTAGCTTCGATTTTAATGCAGTTTTAGTTTCCACTTTAACTCCAGATGTGACAAATTTAATAGGGTTGTTTAATGGTTCTAAGGTGACAAACACAAATTAGCTCAAAAAGACGCAGGATTTTTTTGTTATTTTATAGTAAAATTTTGAATCTTTGAAGCCCTGAATTCTTCTTTTTGTGATTTCGTTGTAGCAAACTCCATTTGGAATAACTTCAGAAGACCATGCTCGATAACCATCGAGGACGAAAACGAATGGCAATTACACAAACACACGGATGTTGTCGTCAACATGTGTTTTCACTTCTGCATAAGTTCAATCAGAAGCACATAAAAATTTGACAAAACCAGCTTTGCTTCTTTCAGTGCATTTTAGAATGTAAAGATGATTATGACTGTAAAGAAAAATTCGAAGGCTTAAATTCCATACCTGTGTGTTTGTGTAACTGCCAAACACACAGATACGGAATTTAAGCCTTTGAATTTTTCTGCGCACGGCTGAAAAGATGCTAAAAGACGAAGAATTGGGTAAAAAATGTCTAGAAGTAGACCATGAGATCTATGAAATATAGTCTAGAAAAGTCAGAAAGGACCAATTATATCGGAAGAGCATATGGCTGATCTCGCCGGAAGTAACCTTATAGAAGCCCACAGAAATGTTACCTTGCGCAGTTGTGCCCGGCCATCTAACTTCGCGACTGCATACTCCAAGTTCAAATGCAATGCGCATACTGTCGACATATATTCGACTTCAGACACCATTTTAGCCCCTGGAAAATACCTTAATTTGGTGATCTTAAGAACACTGTCGCAGAAAGGCCAATCTTATCGCAAAAAAAACCCAGGCTGGAACGCACCGGGCGGGCCCGTGCGAC